AGAAAAGTGGATTCAAATGCCAAAAGTGTGCTATGAGCATAATTCTAACCGTCTTACTATGAAGAGAGTTCCAAATTTATACCGTAATCAGTATGACGTCAAAGTGTACAGTTCGTTTGTTTCAAATAACGCAGACCCATCCATGGCATTTTGGAGAGGCTTCTGTCGTCCTCAGCTGCTAATCGAGTTCACTATGCCGCGTAACGAGGAAGTCCAGCTAATAGATGCAATATGTTTACTGGATCTGCGTAAGTGTTGAAGTAGCAAACCTTCGAAAGAGGCAACAGTACGCGTGTGGAGCGAATGACCTCCGCTAAATCAAATTATGGTCTGCTAAAGATTCCGTTTTTCACGTTTTCAGTTCGCAATCTAGTGTTCAGTAAATATGTAGCAATATGTTAGACACTGAGATTGTGCTAGTTGCCAATGAATAGGCTCGACAGCAGAAAAGGCCGGACACCACCATGTGCTAAAGCGGTCATTGGCTGATACCTGAACTTGACCTATACCTTCGGTGGAGGCAATTTATCCAGAAGACGGAGGGTATTATGCGATCTCGTGCCTTGTTACGAAACGAATCAAGACTGTTATCCCGCTTTCTCGTTTTTCAGGTTTTCGTCGTATGCGACGTTCTTCTGCATGAGATTTAGTTTGTCTCCAGCGGCCACTGGCGACCACTTAGAATCGACTATTTTGGTCATCTCGACAGTTCTTTATGACTAGCGTGGTAACTGAAGGGATTGCATTCATTTGGGATTTCTCCCGGTCAAACACTTCTTCTGAAACCCTAGTATTTCGGTAAATTGTGAATACGGTAAAACCTCGTTATAACACGCCTCAGTATTACACTGATTAAGATATACCGCAGGTCTGGTCATGGCCCCCAAAAGAAATTCTATTTATTTTCTCCGTTAAGAACTTTGTTTCAAATGTAACTCGATTTTTTTCCTAAACAAGTTGATTCGAATTTTGCCGTATATTTTCTCCGAAACTAACTTCGTTTCAAATTTTACCGCGAGTTATTTTCTACCTAAGTAGCTTGATTCGAATTTACTGGCAGAGGCTACTGGCAGTAGTGATGTAAACAAATTACAGCGTCTTGGCATCTCTCAGAGTATTCCATGTGGAAATAAATGTTACTTTCTAAAGAGATTCCCAATATTGTTTCATATTTGTACCATTCGTGCGATTCACTTAGCGTAGGGATCGGCAATCTACGACTCACCGGCTAAAATTATCCGTCATGACATAAATGTTGCGTAACTAAAAGAAACATAATTAATAGTTCATTATGTTTTATTTTTACTACTTTAATATATTGACTATAGAGGAATGTGACTTTGTAATTTAACCTTGCGTACTGCCTACATTGCAATAACGACTCCCATGCAGTCACGCAGGTTTGCATGTCGCAAGAGGTTTTTGCAGTGTTCCTCTCTCCAGTGAGACGAGTGACCTTGAGGCCCCAAAAAATTAGCAGTGTAATGGATAGCATTAGGAAAGTGGTGAATCGGATGAAAAGACAAGATAATTCTGATCATCTTCATATACTGCGTTTGTAAAATGTTAAGATGTTTATGACGAAAAAACGCCATTAGCTGTCGTATCAAAGGACACTATCGGGCTATTTAAAAAAAATTATTCATTATGGTATATTTTTTATTGTAATGTTATTTTTATAGTATTTTTCAATTAAATCTGTAAAAACGTGTTTTTAATTTTACATATAAAATTTTTACCGCGAACATTTTCCGATACAGCGCGGATTGCTGATAACACACGGTTGTTCAGTCTCTCCCCCAAAACCTGAGTTATAATGGAGTTTTACTGTACCTTTTTTTTCATGGCAGTTGTAGTTAATTCCACTACTTTGATGGACACATCCAACGTATCGTGCCGTATCATAT